TTCATTAACCTTTTAAGCCCTTTCAAATCCCCTTTATCATACTGCAGATTTGTGTTTAATATCTGTCTCAAATGACCTTAAGCGGGTGCCCTTTTACTTGCTATTAAAGGCATTACAAATTCCAGAACCAGTTTATTATTTTTCCCCTTTGAGTTATTATCATCCTCTCTATTTGGCTTTATTTAAACTCAGTTATAGTGAAGACTTACCTCATTGTTAATATGGAGCCATTAAAACCTCCCAGAGACTGAGGGGATCACTTCCTAAAATGATAGATTATAACTGTGGCAATGATTCTTTTTCCCCCTTGTTGCTCTTGTGCTTCTTTGCACTGGGCTTTGGCAGATCTTATCCCTCACACTGGAGTAAGCACCCTACAAAGATGCAGAACAGGGGCCAAGAGAGAGTGAAGCTAATGTGTATATATAGCCCCAAGTAAGATTCAGAGCCACAGTCCCATTTTTGACCTCTAAATTCCAGCTCGTTAAGGTAAATCCCTGGATTTCTCTACACTTCTCTTCCCTCATTGGAAGTTAGGGCTCTTTCTCCTCTGCTCTCTATTCTTTTTTGCTAAAAATGTGAGTAAATTGCTTGAGGCTGTAACGCGTGCAGGCTGGTGTCCAGCATCAGATATCCCACCTTCAGGGTTTATAGCCCAGCAAGGTAACATAATGGACATGAACCAAGTGAGTGAAGAAGGGAGCCGTGGGATCTGCTGACCATAGCATCTAACTCTGCACTGGTGAGGGATTTGTAGCTAAAGCAAGGACAGAGCTGCTTTTAGGGGTCAGGCTGGGTCACAAGGAAAGTATTTATGATGTCTGGATAGAGGAAAGATCTATCCTTCCCATCTGAAAGCCATGTTGCGAAACAGTCCTGATAGCCTTGGCTATGAAGTCGTGTTTTCATTTCCCTACCTGGGTTAGTCAGGGAAGCAAACACAAGCCAAATGAGGATTGAAAAGACCTGTTTGCCAGGTTCCTGCCTGGGGTGTGAGAGGCAGCAGAGGTGTCGTCCTTGATGCAGGGCTGATGCTGCCTCCTTCCTGTGCACCTGCAACCCAGGGCTGCGGCACAGACCCAGCCCTGGTGCAGGCAGAGATCTGCTGTCAGCTGGAGATGTGCATGAAACCCTGTCCACACTGCTCTGTTCTTCTGCATTTGAGGTGATGCACTGTGTCCTTGCTGAACGATCCTTAATCTCTTACATCTTTTAATTAAGGTATTTTCTTTTGAACTGCTGGAAATGTGTTTCTCATGTGGATTAATTAAAAATAACACCTAGCTCTGACAACTTAATCTGCTGTGAGCTCTAGTCAGGGTACAGGCAGTCCTCTAAGCCATTCTTTTCATGACACTGCTCTTGCTTCTTACTTACTTTTAAACCGTATTTTGTGGGAGCTGTAGGTTGTGATGGACAGTCCTTCTCTGTAGAGTTACAGGCTGAATTAGTCCAGCTGCGAAAGCAAAGCTGTGTGTGAAACACCACCTCCACCCTGTGGGCTGCAAACCTCACCCCATGCTGCTGAAAGCAGTGGCGTGATGCCAAATGCACTTGGGCAGCCCCCTTTGTTTCGGGATTTGCACCTCTGGTCAGCAAGGGTTCCTGCCTCGAAACCTGGTAGTTCAGCTATTTGGTGTCATGGTAGTGCTGTCTTCCATTTGCTCCCTTTCTGTTAGCAGCAGCTGAATGATTTTGGTCTTTGCAAGGTGTGAAACAATTGTCTGAAGTCAGTAAATCAATACGGGCTAGTTAATGGCTTTGTTCTGCTCTTCCTCACGATGTCTGTTTAAGTTCTAGTTTGATCAGCCTGTAGGATCTGCAGAATTAGGATGATCTCTTGGAGAATGTTCACCCTTGTGTGGATGACTTCAGGTTAGTTCCATCTTTGTGCGACCCCTCCCTAGCATACTTCCCATAAAAAGTTATAATTCTGTATCTACAAAGAGTTTGGACAAAGGTCCATTACTCTGCAGTATGAATTTGTCCAAGGAATATTAAATCCTATATTTTGAAGCCAAAAGTAAGAGCTATTACAGACTGGATCAAATCTAACTCAGCAGGTGAGTGATGTCCCATCTCCCACCAGTGACGGGATATGGGACAGGGGACCTGCACGACTCAGGTCTAATCCAATCTGGGACCCACCTACTTTGATTTTCCCTCTTCAAACCCCATAAATCCTCTCATGGATCTTTTTTAGTAGGGATTCTTCATTTTAATATCTTATAAACAAAGCTTGGAAAACAAACCATGAATTTAACATCATTGCTGCTGATTGATAGCACATTAATACATATTGTGCAGCTTCCTCGGGTGTATGCCTGGGACCAGATGACAAAAGTGCTCTGACGAAGTGGGATTTTGCTTGTCATGAATATTTGTATCAGAAATCTTTGTGCCTTGATAGTTCCTGGAATGTAAATGCAAAAGGGGGAGAAAGCAGATTTTCGTACAGCATTTTTTATACAACTTTTAGTCTACTTTTGAAGTCCTAGAAAATATTATGCTCTTTCATAGCAAATTCCTATGGCAGAACTGCTCTGCTTCACTTACAGAGATGCTACAGAGGGCAGCAGGCATAGCTGATGGATCAGGGCCACACGTCCTCCTGGGCCCACGTAATTCACCAAAGCTATTCACAGTACAGTGTTTTTTGTGCTGACCAGAACATGCAGCATTTAACAGTAGGAGAACATTCCTGTTGGCATTGCTGGACTTTAAGATAGCTCTTTTGTTGAGCTGCAGTTTAATGTACAAAACGTACGTAAATGCATTGTACTGTTACCGTTTAACTTTCTTGTGCTAATTGGCATTAAATATCATAAGAAATGGAATTATGGTGGTTATTGTGTGTTCTACCTAGAATATTTCTGCTTAAATTACTAGAGGATGCTAAAAAACTGAATGGGAAGGGTAAAGCAATGTTTTGGTCAGGAGCTATGTGTAGAGCTGTAATGAAATAGATTTTTAAGAGGGTGCTGTGGCACCAAAGTTGGTTTTCCAAATTGGAAAAGGTTTTACACAGTGGCTGGAAAAAGGAAGGAGAAGGTGCAAAGAAGTATCACTATGGAAGAGATTCCTTCCTCTTATGGGGGAAAAAGAGAGTATTTTAAATCAGCAGCATTTTCTGGTTTATATAATGGACCTGCTGTTCTTAGAAGTTTCCAAATCTTCTGTTCTTAGAAGGCAATTTTACAAACACAGTAATAAGGATAGAATAATTTCAAATTAAGCACCACAAATAAGGAGCTATTTTTGCAGACTATGGCTGGTCACAGAACTTTAATTCCATAGTTTGAGTCTTCTGAAATGTATTTTAGTTTAAGTAAGTGTTGCTTCTTGACTCTTTCAGGCTTGAGACTTCCTATGGCAAAGTTGTTTCATATAATGATTTCATTGTTCACACATTGCAGAAAAGCAAATGAAGCCCATGTGTTGGATAGTCAAAAGATCAGGCAAATATTTCACTCAGTGTGCAACAAAATATTATGAGGTAATTTTATTTTTTTCCCCATTTTTAGGTAAAAATATTACAGTATACAAGATAATCTTATTAAAGGTAAAAATACAGTATTTTGCTTTTCTCTAAACTGGTCTACATACAGTACACTTTTTATTTTGGGGTTTTTGTGTGTTTTTTGTACAAATATAACTATTACTCTATTAGGCTATCTGTATTCTCATCTGGCACTTAAAACTGATCACGGGTCACCTTCTGGCTCTGCTTGTTTTCCTTAGCTGATGCCTAAATGTAATGTTCATCTTATAGGTGTCTCTTGTAAACAAGCAGTACAGTTCAGTGGTTCCCAAGTAGTAAGGTGTTCTTTAAGTAGTTGAAATCCTGTAGCTAAATGTAAAAACCCAAGCAATCCAAATGTGCAGTTGTGTTACGCAGACTCATTGCTTTCCAGTTGTAACAGTGCTTGTATTACTTCAGCCTTTAAAACAGTTTTAATTCCTTCCTTGTCCTCTGTAAGAGCCAAACATGTAAGACAATAATTTTCACAATGATTTTTCCTTTATTTCTTCTTTTTATCAGAAGGTTCTCAGTGGAATTGAAGCCTTTTTGTATTGATTTAAAGGTTCGAAACTACCGGGCTATGTTTTTCATGATGTATTTCACCCTAAGGTTTGCTGTTTGACATCCCACATCTGAAAGCTGAGCTCAGTTGCATCACTGTCATTGAATAACTGTTGTTCCTTGAACTGAATACATTAGCACAATAAACGTGATTTCTGGGTATTCCTGGGAAGTGAGTTGCACATCATTATGAATATTTCGGTACACTGTTGTGGAAGCTGGGGTCGTCTAAGGATAAAAGAGAGGCAAGGTGTGTACAAATAGACCATATCTATCCGTGGACTAGCTAATATAGCAGGAAAAGGGGAACAGGAGTTTTGGGCTGGGAATCATTTTATCAGGTTCTAGCAGAGGGGTGAAAGGATGCTGTACCTGCCATACGTTGCCTTGGTCAGTTCAGCAGTTGATTTCTCAGATGCTTTTCATTAACCGCAGTTCAAAGTTATCTTCATGGATGCCCATGTAAACATAAAAGGGGAGTACACACCCAAGGATAGGAATTTTTGACATTTTTGATAGTATGCTTAGCACATTTGTTCTTCAGACTTCACCCAATTCTGGTCAGTACAGTCCCAGTTGGTATAAATGAGCACAGTTACGTTGTCTTCACTACAGTCAGAGAGGTGAAGATCTGGCTTCTTTGCCTTTAACTAGAGGTGCTTTCCCTATGGCACATCTATTTCTGATGTCAAAGGGAATACATTTTTACCAGTAAGTCACTTTTTGTATCATAAAAGGTTTAACTGGTAATAACTCACCAAGCACAGCAGTAATGCAGAGTGCTCCTACCAATACTTGCTAGTTAGCAAAAGTTGAGTGTGCAGTACCCATCTTTTATGTGGTTTTTGCTCTCCAAATATGCTGGTTGAGACTGAAAAGTGTTTAGAAAACCAGTTGCCTTTCTCTGTTTCCATCATCAGATGTCTTTGTTTAAGGTCTTCCCAAATTTGTCACTCAGCTGCTGTATTAGTCTTGCCAGCTCATCAGTAGCTTGTGACTTTTCCTCTAAGAGTTCATAGCGGAGACTAGAAATATCTTGCTTAATCTCTTTAAGTTCTCCTAAAAGGAGGAAAGTGTCTTTGTTAGCATCATTGACCCAAATAAGTAATCCCTATAGTTTTAAGACGTGAGAGAACATTAATTTCAGTGTGCTTGGTCATGAATGTATATGGAGCTCCGTATATATCTCTGCATTTATTCATTTAATATTTGCGCTAATAAGAAATAACCTGTACTTGCAGTAGTGGTACTGACAGCAATAGCAAGCACGTATGATGTATGAAAGTTAATCTTTTTTCTGAAGTCTATTATCTCTCCACGTATTTATCTCCATCTATAGGGGGACTTGCAAGAGGGTAACAGTTAAGAGGTGATAGAAAGAGGATCTTTTCCATCTGCATACAAATCCTATATGGCATAATGACAGTACAAATCCTATATGGCATAATGACAGTACAAATCCTTGGGGCAGGCAGAGGCAGTGCAGTCAGAAATTGCTTTGCTTACACACCAAGACAACGTTGGGTGTTGGCAATACCCTGGGTTGTGCAAAGCAAAGACAGGTAGAGCTATGGGGCAAAACAGAACTCTCTAAAGATCCTGTGGGATACGTGTTCTGCTAAGGAAAATTAAGGACCTAGAATTTATGAGCATAAAGGTGGCTCAGAGTCAGCACTGCTCACCTTAGTGCAAGCATGACAGTGCTCTCTCTCTCCAGAGGATGCTGTCTAAGCTGACCCCTCTTAGTGTTCATATCACTAGCATTAACATTACATGCTCTAATCTGTGTCAATTATAAAAATCCACTTGCCTTCATTGACTTCATCATTTTCTCGGTCAACCTGAGCCTTCAGGACGTACCGCTTAATCAGGCGCTTCATTATTTTCTAAGAAGAGAACAGAAACACTTCATGTGAACTTATCCCCATTTCCTCTAATTCTAGACATTCTGAGCGACTCAAACACATGGGTAAAACCTGGCTTCAGAGAATGCAAAGAGAATTTATTTATTGACTTCCCATTTATTTTATACTTTATCTTATGAACTTTGTACTACAACAGTTGATTGACAGCCATTCCATGATGAGCCCACGTACAAGGCACTTTCAGGTATTTCATGGAATGCACATGAATGTAGAGTATGTATGTCTCACAGACAGAAAGTAAAAACAGATGATCCAATATCAAGTTAAGAAATGGGATCCAGAGCCTTCCCTTAGCACATTGCTGTTTAATGTAAAAATACTTTACAGGAAGAAATAAATGGTTAATTAATGATGATAGTAAATGCACTCATGATGGGGGACCAAACCTCTGACCCGAGGTTAACAGAAAGGCTCTGTTTGCCTTGCAATTGGGGTTTTAAGAGAGAAAATAGACTTAGTGAAGGACAGAGGAAAAAAGGTTTGAAGAGGAGAGAATTTGGTTTAAGTGGGAGAAGTTTCTTATGAAAATGGCAAATTTTAGGGGATATGCACAGGCTAAAAAATGGAGCCATGTAGACTTATGAAATGGGGGACAATTGTTAGTAAGGAACAGCTTATATGGAAATAGTAGAAGATGGCTATGGATAGGAGCTTGCAATGTGATATTGTTCCAAAAATGCATGTTACATGTACCTAGAAGGAAAGTAACTCTGGCAGTCTTGGGCTACATACAGGGTTACAGCTGAAGGCTGCATCATTGCCAGTTCTTCACTACAGAAAAGACTCATCAATGAGGAAAAAAAATCTCAACTATAATAAACATAAAATGGATTTCTCTATCAGAGACAGTGATTCAGGTGCATCCTCCGTAAACAGAGGAGCTCAGTGAGCATCCAAGAACACATACACAAATGCATTTCATTGACCAGATGGTCATCGTTAGGGGAAAAGCCTCTCCCAGCATGGGCTCAGTTACTCACAGAGCAATCACAGGTCTCTGCTTTAAGCATCACTGAAAAACAGTGCAAAGAGTGGGAAATGCCAACTAAGAAATCAGAACACCTGCTCTTTTTTTCTTAGTAGCCAAATAAGGATCATAACAGTGCAAAAGGCATGTGAACATCCAAGAAGGACCCAGTCATTTGTGTATGTCATGCAGTCATGGAATATGGGATGTCTAAGATTGTCCTTGTATCAAGGAGGCATCTGGCTAACCAGGTGAGTCATTAGGCAACAGAGATGAGGCACAGCGCACGTACGGTGTGTTGAAGATGGCCAAGGTAGTAGAATCCAGAGGGAGGTAGGGTGGTCACCTGAGAAAACATAAATGAAGTAATGTTTGGGGAAAGTAGGGAAATCCTGGATCCAAAAATAAATGAATTTTTGTTTCAGAACAGACTACAGAAGAAATTTAGACTAAAGCAAGGAATCAGAACACAGTGAATGCTTTCATTACGTGGAAAAATAGGGTAACGTAACATCTATCTACTCTGGTTCCCATACAACTTGTGTTTTTGATGGACACTACTCAAACGCTGTCCTATATTAACCACTATGTGTGACAGAAGTCACAAGCTTAAGGCTGCATAGTATATCAAATACATGTTGTAGTCAGATTTGTCTACATAAACTAAGTATTAAAAATGTTACCACTTTTTAACAAGAATCTACTTAGTCATTTAGCAGATATTTCTGCCAATATCTTTAGGAAAGCAATTCATTTTTGTCTCGATATTGAACTATTTTGAGCCTTGCTTCTCCCCAGTACTGCTTCTTTCAGTTACAGTGTGTGAAATAGCCTCCAGGAAAACTAATCCTAGTTACTCAGGGAAATGCTGAACCAAACTTACAGACAACCTCTTGGTTGTCTGAATGCTGAACTGGAAACAATTCACATATGTCTGATTTGTGTAAAGTTCCCTCGTTCTTAAAAAATCAATTGAAATTCTTCAGGTCTCAGAGAGCTTTTATACTATGCACCACTCAACAACCCACTGTTGGGCTTCAGACAGTCTTCATAGGCTTTAGGAACAGGTCAGGCATTTTTAAATTATAGCTGCACTGAATTCAATATTTTATATGTATTTATTAGCACAACCTTCACCTTCAAGCTCTGCATTTGCCATCAGATATCTGAATACATACTGGCACAGAGGGAAATGAGAGGAAAAGAATGGAGGCACTGAAACTGGACTCATGAGATTTGGGGCTCAATTTCCAGTTCAACCATAGGCTTTTCAGGTGTGGTAAGTCCTGCTGGACCTCATTTCTTTGTCTTTAGTGTGGAGGCCATATCTTCCCACTTCATGTCCCTAGTCAAAATCAAGTGCAAGCCATCAGTGATCAGACGGGACAACCAGATCTCAATCCTGGTGATCTATTTCGTCTCTCCGAACAGCAAAGAAATATATTTCTGACCTTTTAAAAGTACAAATTATGCCTTCTATTTTGTTTTTCTGACAAACCTTTTCCTTAATTTTGTACGTGGGGGCGTTGATAATTTGGCAGACTGCAGTTGGTTCAGCAGAGCATTTTAGCACTGCTTCATCTTAAAGTCTCAGCTCAAGAGGGATTGATAAAGGTATCATTTTGCCTGGACTAGTCCATTCCCAGATCATGACTGCAGTGCGTTGACTTGTTCTTCCAACTTTTCAAATTACTACATGTTCCAATTCTGGGTATTTTTGTTAGCCCTCAGGAGCACTGCCTGTATGTGGTACAGGTACACAGACTGCAGATACATCACTGGATAAATTCCACTAAAGAAAAGAGCTCAGCAAGAAGCTGCTGCTTCAAGGATTTTCCCAGTTGCAGAAGAAAGTTTGCTGGCCTGATTACCAAACTCTTTGTTCTTCTCTGTATTTAGCTAATGAAGACTATTACGCTCTTATATTATTTGGGTAATTTCTTCCTGCAGCAACTGAAAGTTTCTAAGATCACTTGAAGACAAACATAGTAGGAGCATTTTTAAAGCAAAATAACAGGGTGCTAATCCTTTTCTATCTATCTAATTTTCCCAGCTGCCTTTGGCTTTTTCAACCTGGGATATATGGGCCTAATTTACCACAAACATTAGGTGGTCTCATTTAGAAGTAATAGCTACAGGAAGCGAATGAGTCCAGCAGAGCTGACACATCTTTCCATTACCTGTGTATTTGAATGGATGGGAAAATATCAGAACTGCTGAAATGCCATTTTGAGTGGGACACAACCATCTCTTCCCTTTGCCTTTGACAGTATTAAGCCAACTAACTCCAAATACCAAAGTGAATGTATCCCATTTCTAACTTAGAGTTTTAGATACCTCTTTTATCCTAGCACAAAAGCCTAAACAGCTTTTAAAACCAGTAGAAATTTATTACTGGTGTGCTGTACAGCCTAGGATTCCGTTGTACTGGATGCTGTACCAACACAAGACAAACCACTTCTAGAACTGCTATTGCACATTTTGTCCAATTTAGCTATTACTTTCCTCAACTCTCTTTAATATAACACGACTCTCTGCAGGCATATCACTTGCTGTCTGGTTCCTTTTCACTTCATGTTCAAAAATAAGAAAAAAGTCCTGTGGAGCACATTTTGCTTATTGTGTTACCCTATTATATGTTTCCTCAAGAAATAATACATTTGGTGGCACGAACACTCCAGCTGAGACAGCCGGTTCTGTTAGTTCCTGTGATGGTTGGGGTGCCCTGTGCCACTGCTGCAGCCACAGGTATTTTTGAAGCATATACCACATTGCAGGTTTAGCTTGGTAGGACAAGTCACTGCCAGAGAAAGCACATGCAAATGTTAGTGCAAAGACTGGAGAGATGAGACTGTGTCATGACAAATGAAATGCTGTCAATGCAAGACTGAAGCTTAGATGATATTCCTTGTGTTAAATTAAATACCGTTGAGAGGAAATAATTAGCATGACAAATGCTAACACCATGTGTATTTCCATGGGTGACAGGCTGCATTTGTCTCTGAAGTGGCCCAGCCCCATCCCATGCCTGTGCTAAGGCACAACCTGGCACATTGCAGGGTGGCATCGACAAGAAGAAGACAAACATGACCCTTGCAGGGAAGAGCTGTTCACTGACAGATTTCTTCCCTGGCTCTTGCTTTCATGCTGTGATTACCTGATATCTTGTGGGCTTGTTATAAGCGTTCTTCCCAGAAAAATAGTCTGTATTTTGAGAGCTAGAGTGAAAACGAACTTTCTGAAATTATAAAACATCATGATATAATTAAATCAATGATAGCTTCTCATACCCAGACAGCCCCAAACTAAACAGAGCTTTGTAAGAACAGTAGGAAATGGTTCAATGTGCAAGTAGAATAAAAGCTGGCACATTCAGGCCTAAAAAGTAGACTTTTGAAAGACAGAAAATGGTCAAAACACACAAAGTAGTAGGGAAAAATGGGTTCTAAATTCTGTAGACAAAAATGGTATTCTCACACGAGTTTCAGAGAAGAAGGTGTTGAGAGGCACAAAATACATTAACCTTAAATAGACTGGTGGTATCAATTTGGAAGAGAACTTAAGGAAGAAAAATAAACACTTATGTTTAGAGTGAACAAATCAATATGGTCCAAAACCAAATCCTGAAACACAACTGATTTTCACTGGTCTTTTTAAAACAGCGGCATCATTTGTAACCTTTTTAGCTCAACAATACATACTTCTTTTTAAATAGAGATTGAGGGGTTTTTTTTTAACCAGAGGACATCAGAGCTTCTAGTTTTGTGCTCTAGAATCTTCCAAGGAGACTTTTCGGGAGACTACGCACAATATTTGTAAGATATTTTGGTGACTTTTATCCACCTCTGAGATTTTATGGTCCAAATGCTGACAAGCCCCCCCCTCCACACACACTTATTCAAAGGAATTACTTCATATCATAGACCCAGAGGAGCCAATACATATCATATTGCACCTATATGCAAGAGTATGCTCAGGGAAAGCCCTGGTTAAGGGTTTTTCTTCCCTGACTGGATCAGAAATCCTGAGAAATAGGTGATTCTTTAAAGATGGCTTTTTTTTTTGGACTGAAATTTTGCAGTAATCATGTGCTTTATTATTATTATTTCTTACTCATCAGGTGTGCATGGTCTTACAAAGACTGTTTTGAAGATGATCTGTGAACAAAATCAACAGGCAAGCAAGAAACGACTGATACTCTTCATTGTTTATGCTAAAGCCATGGAAACTATGAATTTTGCATGATTTCCATGAACAAAGGCAAGCCAGACACTTTGACTCATGTGGCTTGGGGAAGGAGGGGCTTAGAGAAAAATTAATTCCTTTGGTTTATGCTTCGAAGCAGAAATCAAATCTCAAACAAAGAGAGCTTTGTGTGCTTAGATTCAAATCGTGTTTCTAAAACATTATCTGTTAAAATCATTATTTGAGATAGTTAAAGGACAAACATTGCTTTTATTTCAACACTTCACTGTTCCTAGTGGGTCTTTCAGTAATAAATAGTTAATTTCCCCCAAATGCTTGTCTATCTTGTCAATGTTCACCATGTTGGGTAGCCAAATTACTCGGTAACATGGAGTAGACTCCATGGACTTCTCCCTTTAGTTTAGTTTCTGGCAGAAACTGAACATCAGACCTGAGCAGTTCTTTTAATTTCATGGAGCATGATCTCCTCCAAGGCCACGGGCTTTGCCTGGAGCTGGATGAGTCACCATGAGCTGGGTTGCTCCTTCAGAGCCAAGAAATCCAGACAAAGCCCAAAAGCAGGCTGCACCTTACAAAGGCAAACTCTGTAGTGCCTCCTCCAACCTTTCTTTCCTTATCCTTGGTCTCTTTTATTGCAAGGTTAAAACTGAGGGTAGGCTGCAAAACAGGTCCCAGTGTGACCCGTTTCTTCCCTCTCCTGTGCAGTGCCACACTGCTAGGGTATTAAAGCCTGGAAAGATGGTCTGAGAGCAGGCTGTCAGAATAGCAACATGTCCTACAGCCTGCCAATGAGCCACACTGATCTCGCGTGCACTAACTGTAAGACATAAGAGACAATACACTTTAAAGGGCTTTTTCCCCAGGAATGAGTTTGTTTCAAACTCAGCTTAAGCTAAGAAATTAAATACAGGCCGGGACACTTCTATGCAAAGCTGCCTCCTCATATCTTTGAATCCACTGAACTTAATGAGAGCAGCCCAGCCGCTGTGGCTGAGCTCCTGTGAATGTTTTGGGCTTTTTCATGCCCTGTGTAAAGCAAATGGACTTGTCCTGTGAGTGGGATTGTGTTTGTTGTAAGTTTACGTGGTAGGAATGCTTCATCCCACTGACATGCTGCACAGTGTCGCTGATGCTAATTTCCATGAGCAACATCATCTTCACCATCATTTCCCCCAAGGAGGAGCAAAGCTAATTCTGTTGGGAAGGGTCTGGATGCTAAGCATACTCCTGCATATCCATCCTGCTTTGTCATGCTGACACTCACTAGCGCTGAGGAAAGCCTGCTGACACGTAGCCAGGATTCCCAAAACAAACTTCTATTTTAATGACCAAAGGGGAGGTGGCTGAGACAGAATCTACCCATTAGTGGCTACACATCACTAGGCAGATGTAAGTAGAGAGGTTGTTAATTATAGCTTTAGGCATTTAGAAGGTGTTATTAAACCCTGCTTAGAAACGTGTTCCCAAAGCTGGAATGGCAGTGAGTGTTGTAATGACAGCAAGATTAATTTGGAAATCACTTTAAAGGAAGGTGGATGTTTTGGAAAGGCATAAAGCCCTGCTAGGTAGATAAGGAGTCAGACAAGCTGGGAGCCTGATTGTGCCTCTGCTTCTGCCCTTCAGCTTTGACCTTGCATTTGGCCTTGGGAAACTCCCTTATAAAAGTGCCTGTTATAGAAGTTGCTTTTTCCCTGATGTCCAGGCAGTGCCCAGTGTAACAAGGCCACAAGTCTGGGATAACTCTCTAGCTGCAATATAATATATACATATAATATATATATAAAATCAAACACAATGACAAGGCTGAGTAAGAGGCTGTGCTGTCCCTATACACCATGCAACCCCCTCCAGAAGGTCCCGTCATGAATCCTTTCTACAAAGAAGATGAAAAGTGAAGATATAACATACCCGTTGTTTGGAATTCAGCATCCCCATCTCAAGATCATTTTCACAGTTTTTGGCCTTAGATTTGCAGAGTTTTATGAGGCACATTTTTATTCTCAGTATGAGATAATAAAATGATTTAGGGCTTGGCACTAGATTAAAAGGAGCAGGTAAAGTCCTTCCTTCATCAAAGTAGGATAGCCAAAGCTTGGCACGTGCAAACTTCCACTCCACATCCGCATCCTCCTTGGGAAGGGAAGAGAGAAAAAAACCCCAAGCACCCAAATGCATAATTAGTAAACAGGGAGAGATTTAGCTATGACAAGAACAAACATACGGGTAGGATTTAACTAGAATCAGATTCTGTTTGACAGACCAAGACCCACGCACAAAATGTGTCTTTATAATCTCAAAATAAGGAAAATCTCAACAAAGCAAATGATAAACAAAAGCATAAATCCTCCAAATTAAATAGACTGTTTCCTATTTCCTTGGATAAGAAGAAATGACCTCAAGCTGTGCCAGGACAACCCCTTCACTAAAAGGGTTGTCAAGCATTGGAACAGGCTGCCCAGGGAAGTGGTGGAGTCACCATTCTTGGAGGTATTTAAAAGACATGTAGCTGGGACACTATGGGACATAGTTTAGTGGTGGGCTTGGCAGTGCTGGGTTAATGGTTGGACTTGATGATTTTAAAGCTCTTTTTCAACCTAAATGATTCTGTGATTCTATGACTCTATCTTTAATCTCCCTGCTACTGAGGACTGGAATGAATTAGCATGAGATTTACTAGTTTTTCCCAGTCCTCAGGTAGGAGGCTCTGGGCGAAATCGCTCACCCTTGTTTTGCTGATAGTTAAAAGTAGTCTTTAACAAAGTTTTGTAAGTTTCCATGCAATCAAGAAGGATGATAAAGCATTTTTCCAGGAAAATGGTCATCCGAAGTTTAGACTGGAAAGATAATATAGGCCATCTAATCAGTATTTCTGGAGATCTTTCTTCAGAAACCTACTACAATAAACTAGGAAAATGCAGTAAGAGGCTGTGACTCCTTCAGAAGTGAATCTTACTTCTGTAGAAGAAGAGTCAGGAAGATGCTGTATCTTAAATGACTAGAAATCTTTGGGGAAATTACTTTGCTTTCTGCATGCAGGAAAAGCTTCTGGGGCAGAGAACACATGTAAGGTCTCGCTGACATTTAGACTTAGTTACAGCACACACAAGATAGAATTCATTTGCACTACAGTACATGGATGAATAAGAGAAAATGTTTTCAGCTCTGGGCTTTTGCAGTGTCAGATTCTAAGGGAGATTAGGACAAATAATTAATACAAACCCCACTACAGAAGCCTGACATTTAACAAATCAGAAGAGATGACTCAGCATTAACATTATCCAAATAACGAATTTTTTATGCCTTCATTTACATTAGCAGAGAGTTGTTTAAGTCCAAAGCATTTAGCAAATCCAGCCTGTTAGTAGTTCTACCACTGAACAAGGCTGGGTAAACCCTGCAAACACCTTTCTGTGGTAAACTATTCATATTCGTTGAGAGCTGTGTTCATATCCTTCAAAAATAGCTTTTTGTGAATTCCATGCAGTTGTATGCCTGGTATTTGGAAAATCGGAAATTTTTACGTATGCATACACGAGCTTTACACCTATAGGGACTTGAGTGTTTAAGCAGTAGAGAACAGGGCAAAAAGCCAGATGAAGTATTAACTCCATCGTAAGTGAACAATGCAGCTGAGGTAACAGATGGATAAATGACACAGGGAGTGAAAATGAAAAATATCACAAAGCACTTTCATTAAGTACATGTAAAGGAAATTGGATTTACTCAAAGAAGGCCATCAAAAACAAGGAAGTTGAAATTGTTCTAAAAATGATTTATTGTTAATTATTAATTCAATTGTAATTTGAGGACAGACACAGCCTTAAATTTTCACACTGCAAGCACTCTAATTTTGAAATAAGCTACAGCTTCCTTGTTTTTTCACATTTTCATTATCAGTGATAATTAAGAACATTGAGTTTGTAATCTAATTTCTTATCTTACCTCAATTTCCTGATAGGAGTTGTTGATCATGGCTATTAGCATATTAAGCAGCACCACCACCATAGTCACGTTATATACTCCATAGAGTACGTATCCAATATTCTCAATGAATTTATGGTCGTACTTCAGCACCACAGATATCACTTCAGATAAGCCAAATATTGACCAGAATAAGGTTTTAAAACTTTCTTCTACCCTAAAAATGAAGAAAACAATCACTTTATAGAGATGGCACCAGGTAAGCCTGGCAAAATGCTGATAATAAAAACAGCAATCCAGCAATACAAATATGACGCCTTGGCACAGTCAGTGTAAACCATTGTCACCCAGGGATATGCCAAATCGTATTTCCTGATTTGATAAGGAAATATGATTTCTGATTAATACTGTAAAATTACAGTGCCCCCTTTTTCCTCCATCTGTTCTCTCAAGGGCATTATTTGCAACTTGGATATTGTGTGCCTATTAAGGACGGCTCCTCCGTGGTCATCTTGCAGCTTGTACCTTTCAGTGTAGGGCTTTTTACTTCTACTCACTCACCCTTTTCTCACCCAGAGAAGACAGGCAGAGATTATCAGAGAAAGGAAAGAAGGAACCTAATTTGACCTTCTACCTTCTTATATGCAGTTTCCAGGGCAGAAGAGAAGCATTACTTTTTCCCCAGAAGAAATGAATGAAATGTTCTGATTTGTGGCATTAATATGAAGAGCACAGTGTGCAAATATAGCCAGACCATACTCTGAATTTCTTCCTACCCTGCTTTGAGACTGTAAACAAGTCAGATGCCCAAGCATTTGTAGCAAAAATCTGCAATTAAGGAGTGGTAGGAGATGTTGCAGAGAGGAATTTTGATTTCATTATTACCCTTGTTTGAAATTAGAAAGGAACCAGAGGAAAACAAAAAGGTTGGAAGAAAAGGAGGGGAAAAAAAAGAGGAATAAGCCAAGGACAAGAAGAAGTGGGGCTGGAAAGGATGCAGCTGGACTGACAGGTCAAAAGAAGGGTCTGATTCAGAGGAGTCAAAGCTGTAACAGGCAGAGGGGAGCAACCACAGCTGAAAAGGAAGAAAAGAGAAGTGATGCTGGTACATTTTTAATTTACAAGTCATTTTGCCTTCCCTGAACAATCCTTACCATGTTAAGAGTTAACTGCCTGCTTTTTCCCCATGCCTGCCGGGAGGTAAACACCCCTAAGAAAACAATTCCATTGACAAATTGTTTTGATGAACCATTTTGTACTGGGGTGGCAGCCTAATCCTGCTAAATCTGTTTATAAAAACAGATTATAGACACTAACCGTGACATATCCTAAGGGAACAATAAGCTTTACATCATCTGCAGTATCAATTACACCATGTATAAAAGCAAGAGAAATTAATTTCAACCCTTTGAAAGGCTAGTGCACAGCATTGGGCAGTCCCTTTCTGCCCAAGTGAATTCCCAACATATGGTATTCTATATGCTGTTTATAAGTAGTAGTATGACTGCAGTAAAAATTTAGGTATCATTCTCAGCTAGTATAACTGCATTAATGTGTGGGGAGTAACCCCAAGCGGTGTTTCAAATAGATGATGCACAACTTCATTTAAAATGTGGCTTTGTCTTTAGCCTCCTTAATTCTCAGAGTCACTGACACCATCTTCTCCCCTGCTTGCTGCTTTGCACCAGGCTGGGACAGCACGCAAAGATAACTCTTGTGGGATGATCTATGACTGTGCTGCAAACAAGTGACATCGCTTTTCCACTTTCTGGACATTTCATCTCCTGTAACACTTTGCTCTTGTCTCCTGCCCTCATCCGCAGCAAAAAGTAGCTGGCATTAACGTGTCAGATACCCTTGTTTTATGGTAGCACTCTGGCCAGTGCTTATTGTGTACCTTCCAGTTAAGAAACACATGTAACACCAGAAATCAGTGGCTTTGAAACCCACCACATAAGTCACTTCTCAAAGTAATAAAACCCATAACCTCCAGCCTTGATCCCAGACGCACCCTGCTATTAACCTTTCTTTTTTAATTTGGAAAGGTTCCCTTGGCTTTCCTCCCTGCAGGCAGATTTTAATACAACGTGTCAACTCCGCTCCTTTTTGGCAGCTTAAGCATTAACCTTTGTTCTGGAGTGATGCCAAGTTCTCCTTGAAAAGTTAATTAAGGACTGTGAGTGGCCTTGTCTGCCCTGAGCACTGCAGAGGAGGCAGGCAAGGGCCGGGATGCTGGGCTCCAGTGCACGTGTCCATGATCCCTGTTCGCAGTGTCACGTAAGGGTAAGGGACCGGTGCTGATGGTGATGGGACTAGGAAGGTGGTGTGAGAGGTGGACCTGACCTGTAGCACCCCAAAAGGGTGCTTAACCATGCCCGTATGCAGATGCAGGTCCTTCTCTTATAGAAGAAACATTTCTAATGAGAACTTGTACTAATCCATCCCTACCATCCAAAAAGGCTGGATGGCTCTTTCCTTCTCCCTTTTAGATTACTGCCAAATTGCATGAGATTTGGCACAGGTTGCAGGGAACATCCGTTGGGGTTGTTTTTTGAGAACATGTCACTAAAACACGAGACAAGAATGTTTGGAGCCAAGTTCTCAAAGACTCCAAGATGCTGATGTGCCTCATCATTGCCAGCTAAGCAGTATACCCCCTCCCTGCAAGGTCAGTGGGTGTTACAGCCTTCTCAAAGGCAGACAAATGAAGTGGCAGATTGACTGATGCTTCTTATGGGGATGGGTATGCTGCAATCTCTCTCTGCTGTGCTAGAGCTAACTGTTTCAGTGGGGTTAAAGCAGAGAGACACTTTTGTTTCAATACCTGTAGTCCTGTAAAAGTTAAACAAAGATTTTGCAACCAAAGCAGAAAACAGATCAGAAGCAACCATCCTGTTGCAGATTTTCCTCACTTTTGTAAACAGCAGTGTGCTGTTCATCAAAAAAGGTCACAGCAAGGCTATGATTTCATGTCAATCTTGTGTCCTCGAAAGCTTCAGGCATCCTTTCAGACTTACTTCCTTAAAGTGATTGGCTGAGATTTAACACTGCATGAAAAGCAATGAAGTCACTATAATCTACAAAAATACTGCATTTTGACAAAGGGAAATGAGAATCAAAAAGCCTTCAAGCCTCAAAGTAGCACTGGCACTGAACAATGAGTCACTTTTCCCTTTGGGGAAAGGGAGACAGAAAACCTCATGTTTTAGCCTTCAGCCTGATTTGTGATGCGGAAAGCAAGATGAACACAATCAGCCTTGCCTCCATTCCGATTTTGTTTGCATAGCATGTTCTTAATTACAGGCTGTTTCAAGAGCTGTGTTCTGTACACAGTGTGCAATAAACAGATAAACATAGCTGGGGTTGGTTGCAACTGTCGTGGAAACCGATCTGCTTTTCAGCATTGCAGAACTTCCAAACAGTTTGAAAGTATACCCTGGTTAGTTAAATAATCTCTGTATTTAACTGTGTGAAGTCAAGTCCACTGCATCTGCAGTTCCTTTGCATCCAGAACATTAAAATAGAAGAAATGAGAAAACCTTTGCGTGATAACTGGCTTCAGAGGCCACTGGGGTGCACATGTTTGCTCTGTAGATGTGAACACAAGCAAAACAGAGCACATGATTTCAAAGGTGCGATAGCAAGGGAAGATGAAACCTAAGTTCACCAAACATTCACTCTCACTATTAGATCTTAGCAATAAACGAGTGTTATCTGGACAAATATACGCTCTTTTCTGCCTAAATACTGTCCTGGGAAGCTGTGGTTCTCTTAAATGTGTAACTCAAAGTTATTTCAGTGAGTAGCTGTTTGTCTAAGGTTTCTCCCTGAGGCTACTCAGTGAGCTGTCAGTTCAAGGCCCTTTGAAACTGGCCACAATCAGTTAGCACACAGATTCAGTGTGTCTTTTTCTGTCATGACCAGCCAAGTGACCTCTGAGAATCAGGTCCGATAGGTGAACAGCCACATTTCTGAGCATGAAACCTGCTTTTTGCAAGAGTTCACCCACCTCCATTAGAATTCACAAACGTGCCACCAGGAAATGCATTCAGCGACACCTCTGAAGTCACTGAACCATTATGAGGACACCAAAGTAAGCATTAGTCTTCTTTGCCTCAGTGAATGAACATCTGAGTTTCCTATTCAGCTCTAATACGGAAATCTTTCTTCTTTCCATAAACAAGTTAATGACAGCAGAAGTCCAGCACCTTCAGCATGGCCCATAGGTGGCTCATGAAAAATAGAGAAGGAAACGTTGCTGGAGCTGGTAGCTGCCCATCTGCCAATATAACCTTGTAATAAGCTTATTAAAAGCGTTTGAGACTGTACCTCAGGGCTTCTAGCTTGTTGAATGAAATGTCTGAGAAGGATTTTTGGGATGAATGTTAATCTATTCTCTTTGTTTCACATGATGAAAGGACTCATTTTCACTGATCATCGTTTGACACTCCCGTGTGTTTAAATAATCAGAAGAAAGTAAGTCTATCTGAAATCTCTTCCAAACTCTTAAAAGGAAAATTATGCTCATAACAACATGAAGTCCCTCCAGAATAAGTAGTCACCAGGCTGAAGTGAAGGAGGAAGAGCACTGCCTTTTGACAAGACTCTCCCCAGTCCAAACATCCCTGGGCATTTCAGCAATCTTTACTTCAGTGAGCAATCATCATTTTAGTCAATGTTTGCTCATTATTTCCATCAAAAATAGTACCTATTGGAAGATCCATTTAGGTAATGAGTGCTAATGAGAGAGTTATTGCACAGTGTTGCATCAGAGACTGGAATTAGTCAGTGATGTTCTCTAGTAATGTGCCTGGGGATACCATAACCGAGGGTTACTGTGCCACCAGGCAGTCAAGGATGGTATCAGCTCAACTTCTTATTAAGTCTTGTGCTTCAAGAGCATCTCTCTCTCTTTTCAAATAAGAAGCAAGTCACATCCCACACACCCGATTTTCTTCTACGTTACCACCGAGCACAGATAAATGTAATTGCATCTGGCCTTGTAAATCCTTCCATTAAAATGTATCTTGAGGTTACAGCAGAGGTCTAGAGGGCATATTTGGCTCAATTAGAGAAAGTAAACACTGTGTTACAGGATAGATGTTGCACAGGAGGGTGGTGTGGTAAAACTGGCTGCTGTGCCTTTGGAAGGAGACAGCCACTTGCAGGATAGAAATGATGCTGAAAAGGTCAATTCTCCTAGAGAGGCTATTTGCTAAACCCCCGCTCACTGTGTGGCATGTTAGAGAAAGCAAAGGGAAAACATTAAGCCAAGATTTCCTCTTCCCTCACAGATGGGTGTGTGGGAAGGCAAGTCCCCACAGTGTCCCCAAGGCTTTCACATGGCCTCTGCAGAAAAGCTCCCACTCAGGATTTAAAAACCACAGCCTAAACACCCTGTTTTGATTTGCTTTTCAGAGCATCATAACAAGCAGCTGGCTCTGCAGATGTGCACCTAATGATCACAGCTGCGCTCAGGTGCTGTCCTAAAGCCAACCTCAGATATGCAAAATCCTCTCTTATTTTACACACATTTACGTTTGCAGTTTTAAGAACAATAACCTTAAGCCTAACCTCTTCCCCACTTCTTATCTTGACTTATTATACTGAATATCTCACACATTTTCCTGATCTCTTATTTTGATTTCTAGAAACAACCATTTCTGAACTACACATCTCCCTGTGCTCGGGTTTTGACCCTGTGGTACCAGTTTCCCAGGTAAAATCTGGATGTGACTTCCCCACACAGCTGTATTAGCACCAACCTGAGCAGACCTTGCAGCAGCAATGGACCAGAATAGACTGAACCCTGCAAAAAACAGCTGCTTTTCCATAGGTACTCACGTTGTAAATGCAGGGTTGTATTTTGCACCAAGGTAGTAGGAGTAAAGATTGAACATTCCAATCATAAAGGCCAGGAACACCATGATGAAGATGACCATGAACTTGAAGATATCCTTCACAGTCCTCCCCAGAGAGATCTGCAGGGGGCCGAAGCTTTCGTTGGCTGGAAGAATGTAAGCAATGCGGGAGAAGCTGAGTACCACAGCTATTGCATACAGTCCTTCTGAAATGATCTGAGGATCCGAGGGAAGCCACTTGTTCCTGGCTAAAACAATACATGTACACTAGGTATTAGTAACAAAAAGTGATAGGTGGAAGCTGTTATGATAAATGACCCCCTTGTCAAGATTGAGCCTTGGCTTTGGCCAGGAGTTAAAGAAAAATAAAGAGTTTTGGAACAACTGGTCACTGAAGTCCTCAGTATGATGCACAAATATGGGTGAGAAGAATTAGTTGTGGTTTTTACATGGCAAAATGAGAAATGGGATTTACCAAAGTCACACAACAAATAAACAGCCTTGCTTTCGACAAACTTGGTATTTTCTGTTTCCTACTTGAGCACAAGTGCTTTTCCATCTGAAGCTCCTGGGATGGAGAACCAAAGCCACCTCACAGTGGAATTTGGCTATAGATTCAGATATATGGCACTGTGTCAATATTTGGAAAGGAAGCATTATGGAGGCTGAGATCTCTATCCCTACCATCAGGTAAGAAAGTTAGATAGGGCAGATATAACCATCAAGTGTATCATTTTCATGTTATCTTTAAATTAAAACCAATCCTTTCAGTCCAGTTGCTCTAATATTTTTACTTCAAAAAGCTTCTTGTTAAATAAATTAAATCATTTATTTAATCGACTAGAAATTTGAATGTTTGTATTAATATAGCTTGTAAGTGTCCCTGCGTCAACTGAGCTTCTTGATGAAAAGAATGTGACTCAGGGATAAAACATGCCACATCTTCAAGGACACAGCAGTAAACTTAGGCATCATTTGCAGTAATGTGGTCCAAAGGAAAAGCAGCAGATGGAGGCATTCGCAGGATCTGGTTGTGACATTCTGTTCTGGACTCTTCGCACCTCTGTGTCATGAACTCACTTTAAATGGGTCAGCAGCAAACCACAGAGAGGCCACATCATCTCAGTGGCCTCTTGCTTGCCTGAGCAGGAAGAGGGAAGCTTACTTACCTTCAGAGGGCACACACCAGGCAGGAGGCTGAGCCCACAGCTGTGCACACTGCTGGGAATCCCCATCAATTTTGCTCAGGCTTACATCTAAAGCTTGCAGAGGCATGCAATGAATCCAGTCCCCACACTGGGGTGCAAAGCTCTATTCATTTATAAATATCAAAGAAAAACCATTTCAGCCATCAAAAAGAATGTTGTCAAGGCTATGCTACTGCTTGCATTTCCGAATGTTAGCAGATGACATAGGCTGTCCAAAAATAAAGTTTTTCTCTTGGAAGAGCAGCAGCTTATAGGAGTAATTGGGGTTTGTATTCCCATTATACAGGTGTTGGATGTACCAGAGGTGCAGAGCACCAATAGCTAGAAAGGCAGCTCCAGATCCTACGTATGTTCACACATCTCCCTCCTCTCACGTTTGGAAAGCCAAGCAGGTTCATTAATCTGTAATTTAAATTATATTTTACTCCCTCTCAGTTCTTGATTATTTGTTGCTCAAGCTATTTTGTCGGGATGTGATTGACCTGAATGTGGCCTTAATATAAGATCAGAGATTGAATGAAGCTCAGATCTCAATTCTTTTCTGACTGTTTAGGAAGATGGCTGGAATGGGTAGATCTAAGCAGAATAATTTGGTTTAGTTAGAAAAAAGCCACCTAAATATCACAAAAAGAAAGCTGCTTTCAGCACTGCCACACATTAGCCTTAAAGAACAGGAAGCATTAGATAGCGAAAAGCATCTTACCATAAGTAAAATAAGCAACTTCAGGGGGAAGGGTGACATTATTGAGGTCATCATCTTGAACGTACTGATCTACGTACTGTTGTGCTTCAGTTGCTTTGAGAAAAGCCATGAACCTGGCAGTGAACGATGCCACGAAGATGGACAGCATCCCGAAGTCCAGCAGGTTCCAGAGATGCACCACGTATTCACGTGGACCCTCTTCCCAGATCTCCTTGCACTCTGACCATATCATGCCTGTGGAAAGGACAAACCACATTTAACAGGCAGAGAAAGTGCTTTTTGTATTCAGGCAGACCTGTTCCTTGGCTAACAGTAACTTCTGAGACAGAAGCAAATGGCTCTTCAATTAAACTGAATTTCTTGAGAGTGGTTCGCATCAACTTTTCTTCAAAATCATCAAAATCTTTAAAGCTTACATGTTCTTTTGTGCATATGAGGTAGAAACTTCAAAATTTCAATGAGTCAATGGTAAAGTAGATTTCTGGCGATGTCAGAGAAAGTACAGATCAGAAATAGTGAAGACAATAGAAAATCCTACTGCTGATCTATTTGGAAAAAATGTAGTTTCCTTTCTTGTCCCCAAAATCTCCTTGCTAAACTCTGCCACTGAAGGGGGTAGTGCTTCCTCTGCTGATGTTCTCCTCCTTCCCTAAAATAGTGGGCAGGTCCATTTTGAGAATGGAAACAGATCTTTGCGAGGGAAAAATCTGATCCACGAGTAAATACAGTGTGACTAGAGAAAAGGTAAGACAGAAGTTCTTAAAACTCATATATAAGCACTTTTCAGAGCTCAGGTCAAATTCACCAGATTTCCCCACTTGCAATCACAGCAGGGCTCTAGAGTCAGAATCTTGTTTCTGAATAGCTAAACTATCAGAATATGTAACCCACTGATAAATATTTCCTGCACTCTATTGAATCCTGTTTCCATAGCAGCAGTAAAATTCACATTTAACCAAGCATGAGCAGCGCCTGCCAATTTCCACGTGGCCTCCTGCAACCTTGTCCTTTCTGTGAACTCTTCTTCATCCTCTTTGCTGGAAGCTCTCGTGGCGTGGCATGTAATTGCATTTGCTTGGCTACTTCAGAGGCTCCTGGAAGCACGTGGTGTCCCAAGAGATGCAGTTGAAGACTGGGTTATAGGGAAGGAAGCAAGTCAGTGTGGATCTAGCCGGAGGATGGAGGAATGAAGAACTTCTGATGCCAGCCCTTGTGCATGGGGAAGGATTTGAAAGAAAAAGGAAAGCTAAACTATTGATACCACCACTGGCCAAGGCACAGTGGGTGCCCTCCATAGACCTGGAATCTCCAGGCAGGTCCTTGGAGATGTACCTTGCTTTAGGTTCTGCCCCATATAGATCTGTCTAGGGAGAGAGCCAGAGGTCTGCTGATTGTGGAGCAGAGCCAGAGGGTGGGCAGGATAAGAGCCTCCCAGCTCTTCTCCTCGAGTCCTCATGTGCTTGGCAGGCTAAAAGCAGGAACTTCATCCCAAGCTGTCATTCACCACGAGTAAGATTTAATAATAAATAGCTTAAGCGAGAAGGTGGAAGAATTGGTTTCTCAGGAACTGTCCTGGAGCAGGGATAAAATATTAAAGAAACATTTCTAGTTTAAAATATTAAAGAAACATTTCTAGCTAAAAAAAAGTACTCCAGAAGTGAAACACAGGAGCCATTCGCCCTGTGCATTACACGTGCGTGTTGCACAAAGGTACTAAAGCCCTTCTGGAAATATCACATGCACAGTAACATTGCCCACCAAAGCACTTGTTCACTCGTGTTCAAAATGTCTTTTCTGGTTTAAATATTAACTCCTCCATCCAAATTTATTTCTAATCTTAGTCACTTAATATACCTAAGTCACAGATTAATGAAGTAAGAAACATCTAAAACTGAGTAGACTCACTATAATTAGAACCACTCCATGGAGGTATCACACTATTGGACTGTAATTTACATCATTCTTTTTGTCAATGGTGTGGCAATCATTTTTTATCCATACATATGGAAAAATGTCTATTCAGGACAAGTAGAAAAGTTGCAGTAATTACTTGGTTAGAAGTGCTGGGTAATTGTATATACATTGTGAGAGAGTAATACAAAACTTCTCTTCAAGTAAAAATGAGAAGAGAAAAAGAAGCTGAAATTCAGGGGATGGGACTTAAGATGAGAGGTGAAAAATAAAGGACTGCAACTAGAGAAAGCAGATTTGCTAGGATGTGATTACATTCCAATACGCTGTTTCTGAGGTCCCAATGGGGACCTCTCCCTCTGGGAGAGGTCGTTTCCCCGAGGTAGACACACACAATATTTATAAGCATACATACGTGTGTGCGTATATATATCTGTGTGTCTTGGTTTACGTATTTAATAGCAAGTGTGTAATTGTGTATATTAACTGTAATAATCAAATGTTGTCAGAAATCTTGTGATTCACCTAAATACTGCAAACTGCTGCTAAACGGCACTTGTAATCCTCTAGATGAATACTACTGACCAAGGCTGAGACTAAGACTAGATCCAACTGCACCTACATTCTGTCAGGAGATTAGAAAGCAAGGGGGTCTATTCTGAACCTCGGGACTCAATGGAAGAATCTTCCTTATTCCTTTATATCCCCAGTTTCTGTTCACATCACTTTAGGCACTTCTGTATAAACCACTTTAGCCTGACTGTTTAAATCGTTGTCAATTCTGACACCATTTCTTTTGGTATGTAGTAGAGGGAACCTTGCCATTGAACTGTGTTGAATCACACTTTTATACATTTCTATTAAAATCACTTTGCTGATATCCCTGATGGTGATTCTTTGAGTGATCCCAACCACTCTTTTCACAACAGAGAGTCAAGCTACAGGCATGGCCTGTCTGGAAGAAAAATGGGTTTCCATAAGTACCGTTCACCACCCGTGCACAAAAAGGAACAGTTTGTCAGATTTTTATGTTCACTCGCCTGGTACATAAATCATGAGCAGATGATGTTGCAGAGCTGATTTTAAGCCTTCCTGGATCCACCAAAGGCTGTTGGGTTAAGAGAGAGATTTGTGCTCAGATTTTGTCTATCCAGAGCTTAACTGTTACCTTGGCTGCTTGTGCAGTGGGGATTTTGTCTCTCTAAATTAAACCTCCATGCTTCCAGTGCACACTTTTGTCCCTATTGTGCACAAGGAAAATCACAGCATTCCTGACTTGCAGGGAAGAGAAAGGAAGAGGTAGCCAAGGCATACACAGAGGCTTTAGCTGAAATTTCTGTGCCCCATGTACAAAGGGGCAAGTTCTCATCTCAGAGCATCATAGAATGCTTTTTCTCTGCACTAACAGGTTTATAATCTATAGCTCTTGGATGGTCTTTCATAACAAAGAGGAGTGAGACCATAAAGGCATTCTCCCACCTAAAATGCTATCTGACTGCTCATGGGGATGTTAAACGTGCTACCAGCACTACCTGCCTGATCCAACAATGCTCTACAGCCATTTTGGATGTGCAGGCTAATGGAAAGTAAAGCCTCTTATATGGATTATTGGAGCAGGATGAACTGCTTGCCTGGCTGAAAGTCACTGCCCCAGCTCGCTTTACTCCATTACCTGCCTCTATTAGAAGTAGTTGCGAGCAGGAAATGGCAATGGTATCGGTTTGCATAATCCCAGTCTGAAATGCTCCTACTGGTAGTTTTCTCTTAAGACATGTTCACATGGATCAACTTTCATATCTCCAGCAAAATTAATAGCAGGGACTGCTATCACAGGTTGTGCTTGCTTGTGGCCACGCTATGCTATGCTAATGTAACACATTCTCCTCTAATAACGCTGTTCTGAACATGCATCATAATTTCACGGTTGACAGCCAGATAACTCAGGCAGCCAATTTTCTCCCCAAAAAAGAACCAAGATCAGGGACCTGTAAGCTAATTTCTCAAAAATGGTCTGCTATTGTTGGAACCAGTAATGTGTCATCAGCATTTATCATTGCTGCCACAGTATGAAGGAGGAAAGAGAAAGAAGAGGAACAGAAGGAAGGGATTTACAAGAATCCCTGAGAATAAATAAAACACCACTTTTTGATCATACTATGAAACAAAATGTAGGCAGCACACATACACTCTTGAGTCTGGATACAGCTACTGCAGGTTTTGTTAGGTAGGCTTAAATACAGCTACGTGTATTTAGTGCACAAGAGTTAAGATTTATTATACTTTAACATAAACTTACTGTCTACCTCTATTTGCCACTTTTTGGAAAATAATATCTTGGCAGCTTTACCTGTGATATTTCTTTATAGCATTTATTTTAATTATATTTCTACTTCTATACACATATTTATAACACCTGTAAGATTTTTGCACCAAAAGGCTGGGTATTCCTCCTGCTTTAGTGCTTTTACAGTCCTTTAAGGTCAGCGTCACATATGGGGCTCATCAAATGGCCAAGCCCCGGTGACAGCTATCTGCAAGGCACATGCATCAATCTTTCACCACAGCATTGCTGAAACATTATTTGAAGCTTTACGTAGGCAGACAGGTAAAATGGCCAGAGAATATTGCCAGAGCTTATGCAGGCAGTCATTAGAAAATCTCATTATACTCCGCAATCTGTACAATGAATCACCTTTCCTCTCTCAAAAAAGCAGAAACCTTAGCTTTAAATTAAATGTCTTCTTCTTCATCTCTCAGGAGCTTACCAGGCCGACAGATATCCAGTGCCTATAAGAAAAGAATATCTAGTCTGAAATCTAATCACCGTGGTCCAACTGTTTTAGTATCATTTTTAAAATATATCTTACAGACTTACTCTATCCAGCCTGGCATCTATTCAGTATTTTCTAGCCTAATATCCTGTATGGGATTCTGATTATTGTGGGGACAGGGAACAAAGAAATGGTGGCTAGGAAGCCATCAGATAGAGCAGCCTTATCCTATTTTTCAGGGAAGTTTAATGCTATCAGTATTTATGGAACAGTGGAATTTGCTGCAAGAAGAGAATCAAAATCATGGTGGTGAGTAAAAATAGATGCAGAAGAGGTAGACAAAGATTCTGCAGAGTTGATAGGCTCAATTTCACAATAAATCCTTCTGAGCTTGTTTAGATGAGTGGTTCAAGATAGCTGACCTGCCAGGAATAAATTATGCCTATAGGAAAATTAATGTATCTGAATTTGCCTAAAACTCCCTGGAAGTGTGACATACTTTTGCACTTGAAGGGTTCATCCACATGAAGCTCTAGTTTATAATTGCCAGATAACTGAATTTCTTTTAAAAGATGTGAATGCTGTGCTGTCCCCTCACCAGTGACAATACATACAATGGATTTCATAAAATCCAACTCTTACACACCTAGCAGCTTTCATCACGAGATCTCAGAGTTCATTATAAGGACATAAAAAGCTTACAAGAAAGTAAATATTCATTTTGCAGATGAAAAAACTGAGGTTCTTTGGTTCACTGAGGTTCATTCATTGTTCATATAAAAGTATGTCATGGCAGGGAAATAAGAGAGGCTGGTGGTCACCCACATCCCAGTGGACACATTTCATTCTGCTCATTTTTGATGGAGTAATGTCCTATAGAGAAGCTATGAATTTCTGTGGCTATATTACCTTCTTCAAGATGCAATGATTAAACCCATAGAGGTAAACAAACATCATTTGTAGCATTCAACATGGAAAATCAGGAAAGCGAGAATTTGCTAAGCATCATTCAAAAGCATAATTTTCAAAAGCAGTGACCAAGATCAAAGTCTTCCTTGATCTTGGAGGACTTGTAGACATTTTGGTTTTGCTTACCCAATACCCACTTCATGATCAGCAATTCTGTCCATGAGAATTGAGTTGTTTTGACTCTAAATATTTGTTTCGGATGATCCGTGATGGTCTCGTTTGGGAGATTTTTCACTCCTTCAAACCGATCTGATGCATTCACTACTAACAGTCCAAGGAAGATTGTGAAAGAAACTGCATGTGCCACAAACTTCATGAAAGGACTTCGGAGGGTCCGTCCCAGCTGCAATGAAACAAACATGACATAAGATCTTTTTTCCCCTTTATCTACCTCCTGGAAGGTTTTTTCTATAAAAGTTGGAACCATTTGGATTCAGAAATGATTTCCAGATCATGAACTAAATGGGGCTTTGATTTGTTCAAGTTGTTCTTTGCTATTACTAGACATTATGCATTGCAGTTTAAATCATGCCCCTTGGATAATTTTCTGTGCATGGCAGTATCTTACATTGCTCCTTTATAAACAAATACAATATCTAATTGTCCCGGCCATATGGCAAGTGGAAAAAGAATAGACAGGACATTTATCCAAGAGACATGTTTGCGTGTATACATGTTATATGGAGGTACTCATGTGTGTCAATATATATCCTAATGATGGGCCCTCTTCTTGTCCTTACATCAGTGTTACATATTAGAATATTTTATTAATGCTGAATTCTTGGTTCATTAACAATGTGTAGGAAATAGCCTTCTGCTTAAGTATTCTTTAGTAATGTGTGTAATATGCTTTGGTATGACAGTCTTCTCTTGTAATTACTACGAACGCTGAAGATTCACTCTCTGGAACACAAGGATTTATTTCAAGACATTAAGCCAAGAATCAGAGCAGCAGATCCCTTCACTACAGCTAATATTGGTTCCATTCTTCTTGAAAAGCTTTCTTTGTTAATTAATTTCAATAACACTCTTCTCATTTTACATTTTCTGTGATCTAAGAAAACATTACTCCAGAAAGATGTCAGAGTATAAGCATTTTTAGGAGCTCAAGGACTGATGCCTGCAGTGTTGGACACAATAGATTGGAAGTGCCTTCCTGTATGTGTCCTTTCCAAAACCACCTCAAAACAAATGAGACATTTTTGCACTATATTACTCATTGATTCATTTCCATCGATGACACAATATCCTTAAAATCTACTTAGTATCTATTGACTTAATAATAAACCCCTTTATTAACATGCTTGCTTTTTTCTGAGGCCAATAAGGATGTGTTTAAGTAAGTAGGTATCACACTGAATCAAGCACCAAGTTTCTTTAATTTTCTTTAGGAATATTATGGCAGATGTAGGAGTAAATGAAGTGTGTTAAACCAATCCCAACACTTCTGGTGCTGGTTCACTCCTCTGCTGTAAACCTTGGTGTCGTGTTAGTTCTCAACAGCTTTTTATGGCTGGTGTTGGGTAGATTTACGCTCAGTAGCAGAACTTACATTTCCAGTGCAGAGCTGATGGGATGTGCTTGAACAATATCCCATACATCATCATCTCAGATATTTTCCTGTCTGAGAGAGTTCAAATTGCAAGAGTAAAGTGGGATAACTATGGGCATATGGGTCTTTACCAGCAAAGGTTTAAGAAAGTGAATTTGTAATCTGTATGGGACTCATTTCTACCCTGAATTCACTAGATAAGAAAAAGCACTGGCTATTGAACTATGAATTGTCTCCAAATAATTAATTTTTTGCTGTCTATAGAAACTTTAAAAAGAGACCTGACGCTAAAGTAGCATAGCCCCAGTTATCAGAGAAATAATCCCATACATTACAAGACCAAATGAATTTTGTGGGTAATTTCCCTCAGTTCTCTACTCATTTAACAAAAGTCTGCATTTAGTCAGCATTACATCAGCATTTTATTCCCTTTATTACTGTGGAAAGCTTACAATTTTTTCTTGAGCTGATGCTTTTCAGTATCTTCTTAGAAATCTGATTTTTAGCAAAGAGCTACAGGATGTGTATGACTAGAATATTCTGTACCAAATTAACGGAGCATCAATTCCTCCAGTCAGCCTAATGCTTTATGACAATAAGATGTATTTTTCAAGCAACATGATACTGTTACACTCAAGATGTGTAACTACTTGGATGTATCAATTTCTCAATTACTATTAATAATCAAAATATCATCTTCCATCAAATCAGGATTGCAGGGAAGTGCCTGCCTGTAACTCTTAAGACAGAAATACTGACACTGAATATACAGGTTCATTCTTAAAAGAATAGCCCATTTCATGACTTAGTATCATATCTGTATTGCAGGAAAATAGTGGAATATGCAGACATGTCAAAACGAAAATATATAAAATGGGATATTGAAACACAGTTTTCCAAATGCAGATTATTCCAAAAGACAGGAACAAATAAAGATAAAAGCATCATAAAGAAAAAAGACATTAATATTTTCAATACTATGCTCATAGCAGAAGAATGAAGAATATTGTACTAATTTTATGTAGCTTAAATGGGGAGGAAAACACCCAGAGTAGAAAGACAGGGGTACACCTTTAGGTGGAGTGAACTATTAAACTTCTGGTGCTTAAATAGTGCTGCATCTGCCACAGCAAGAGTTACACTCCATAAATCCCCAGCATGGCTACATGAACAACCAGGCAGTAAGAGCTGTGTATAAGCAACCTCTGCCAGTGCTGTAACATTTGAATGTGCCCTTCAACTGGCCAGAAAGGGAAGTTGTTCTCGAAGCTCTGCACAGTCCAGTCTCACTTGCTCTTGCTATTATATTTTTGGGCAGCAGACGGTGCAATTTTTCCATTCTCTGTCTTCTCTATTTTGATCAGCAGTGAAACCAACATATCAAGCATTTCATAGACATGGTCTCCACGAGATGCTTGAGTCATCACAGGTATTTTCAGGAGAGGATGGGCTGACACTCTGCAGGTCTTTTCAGCAGTTTATGCATCCAGAGGTGAATGAACCACTGACACTAAAACCGGTTTTAATGAAGACATCCTTGTGCAAAACAGGAGTTACAAGCTCAGTTGCAAACTCAATTACTCTAAATGAAAGTACTTTTCTTGGAGATATTTTGGAATAGACCAGCCTTAAGCATATTTTATTACATCAGATGTTCTGCAAGACTGTTTTCAGAAGGTTTTTCTGATTGCACTAACATAAATCTTTTCAAATTATGGTCTTTCTTTAATACCCATCTGTGGATCTATAATTTCTTGGACAAATTTAGAAAGGATTCCCCGCTGGCTTTTAAAAGAAATGGAAGAAAATGCTTTCAATCCTGAATACATTTACCAGCACCAGGGGTCATTTTTATCAAATTTAAGTACCTCTGATAAGCCTCAAAAAACTCTACACTGTAATGGATGATGTTGCTGGCTATTGCTGAATGCAAAATGATCTACCCTGCCTCCCCATCCTTCTGTAGCAAGAGTAGTATCACTCAGCCACACACCTATTTATCCTGAAGAACAGACTATTTCAGGATGGAAACCTCACTATAGATTTCATACCACAGACCACTCAAGCTTTTAACTAAAGTAATAGTTGGCTCTGGTTCTTTGGCCTCTAGGTCTTGGCAAAACTTTTCTGCTCCATCTGATGCAGTGAGCTGTAGCACAGCCATATTTAAGTACATGGCAGTTTTCCAAGTCTCATCATCTTTTCCCTCAAAACCATAAAGATTGTATGATTAAGTCTAGTCTTCTCTGCAGCACTAAGCAGTCCCCTGGGGCTTGCCAAAGTTTCAGGCATGTGTGCCATCATAATGCTCTAGTAACTAAAAATACAAGATCAGAAAGAAGAAGGAAAAGGGAGAAAGGAGCCTTGTGTAAGGGAGGAACCTTAAAAAAAAGTATATAGAAGGAATGAGAGTTTAAACATCAGAGTTAACTAAAAGGGCAATAAAAATCTTCTCCTTTAGTTATTTCCCATTTTGGTGGTTTTTCTGTTTCTTTTTCATGTTGTTATCTCCTTGCTCCTATTCTTGTCACTCATTGTCTTACCTTCTTCCCCCCCCCCCCCTATTTTACACATAAATATGAACCTCAAACCATGTCTAATAGCTCCATTTATGTATATCAATCAACATCTCAATCTTTCTTTCCTCTGGGGCAATCTTAGAGGATAGCATGAATCACTTCCTAATCGTGTTACAGGAAAGTATGTGACTTCATTCGTACCATAAAAACCATGCACCTTAGTGAGTTTGTACCTTGCTGCAGGGAGCAATCCAGTAGGCTATGGCAAGGAAGGGCAGGCCAATGGAGACCCCAAAGACGGCCAAGAACTTCACAGCTATAGATTGTTGCCGTAAGCCTGAGAGGTTTTCATACCACATGGTGAGCAATTGCTGCTGGCAGTTGGGATGAGCAACAAACTGTAAGAGAAACAGAAATATCAGTAGCATTGTCTGAAGAGGATGAGATTTCAGTGAATAACCTGCTGAAATTGCCAGCAGAACAAGACAGTTTTCCAACATAGCTTATGGTTTCACAAGCAGAAAACTGCAAAGCAGGCACCCAAAATCCCCAGGGACTTGGCAGAAGGTGTTTGACTCCTGCTTCTTGCCTTCTCTAGATAAGTGTTTTGTTAGACAGGAGATGGCCTAGACCAAAACCCAGCATCCATCAGTGGCCATCACTGACAAAGTACCTCTGTGGGCAAAGTACTTCTGGAAGTAAGACAGTCTACATGGAGATTCAGAAGAGGAACAGAGAGGCACTTTGATGTCAAGCTGAAAGAAACCTCTGATAACTTGCTAAATAGGCCATTGAAATACTAGTTCAACACAGCACTAGTATGATACTGTTCTATTCACTGCATATGGACCCAAAGCGAACCATTCCGCCCAATTCTCCTTCTCCTGTAAATTGTAAGAAGTCTGGCTGATATTCTCCTACTTTGAATGCTTTACCTCAGAGTTCCTTTCAAAAAATGACAGCTCTTTCTTTATTGATCAGACAAAATGACAAATTCAAAACCAGAAAGAAAGGCTGTGGTGCTCTGGTACAGAAAGTACATGTTTTGTACCCTGCAACTGAGAATGTTCTTCAGTTTATTGTTCAGAGGAAAAAGAAAAGGGGAGCAGCAGACAACTGAAAAGGGCAATTTCTTAATAGTAAAATTACAGAACCACTGGATCCCCTGGAAGAGTTTTATAATAAAACATTAAACTTCTTTATTTCATATTGTTCTTCAGGGTGATTGAATTTAGAATGTGATTATTCTTATTCACAAAGGAAGATAATTAAAAAGCAAAAAAAAAACTGAAAGAAAAGGCAAAAAATAAATAAGTTGCTAAAGCAGCTGATTGCACTAGCTGAACCCAGTGTTTCATTTATGAGTTGTATGTCTGAATAAATGTTCTTGGGAGGGAAATGTAAAACCCTCCACTATTTCAAAAAGCACTTCTGGAGGTGAGGAGGAGGATGAAGGGGGAAGAGAGAGGGAGAGAGAAAGAAAGCAGAGGCTAGGAGGGGGCTTTGTGGCTGCTGTTGCCCCTGCCTGGCAAGGTGGACACAGACCACATCTGGCAGCTCCCCCATTGCCCAGCTTCAGCCCTTAGGGCACAAGCAGCCAGGGGAATTTCAGTTGTAGCCTGTAGTTTTATTGGGACTGAAAAGAAGAGAATATTTGAACTGTGCTTTCATCTTCACTATCTATGAACCGATGATCAAATAGTGAATTTAATGGACTCTTTTCTAGATGTTTGCATAATAACGAAACCATAACTGCAAGTTTAAATGATCAGTTCATTGCTAGTGCAGAATGAAATACAGTTGCACAGTAATGAGGATTGCCATGGAATAGCACATTTCCTTCTGTAACAGCACATTAGCAGCTATTTAAAATGTGCTTCTTCAGATGAATTATGCTTTGGGGTCTGCATTGCTCAAAAAGAACAAAATACAAAATAAGACTTTACCCCTTCCACTGAATAAATCTATCAGAGTGAAGAAATTTGATAGGTGCTTTTAGCCTCTTTTGTCTTCAGAATCTTTTCCTGGAAATATTAACATTTTAATACACTTTCTTATAAGCTGCTTTCAAGCAAAAAAAAAAGAAGAAAGCTTTCTAAAAAGATATTCTATAAATCATCAGTCCCAGCCCATCTGAGCATTTAAAGTTTAAGGTGAAGGTGATGACAGCAGTCTTCCAAGGAAGCATTTCCTAATGCCCAGTGTTTATGTTTGCACTATTGTTGCTAGGGCTCATTATCTTTCTGGCAAAGGGACAGAAAGATGAAGTGAAAGGAAGCAAAGCACAGAATTGATTCCCTTTGTAAATTTCATTTTCAGATATGATGAATTCAACATGGAAAGGAAAATTGCACTGGTAGATGTGCAGTCTTCTGAGGGTAAGGGTCAAAGCAACTGCCAGGCTTCTGCCTGCCCTTCTAATTGTTCATTGAATTACAAGAATTGATTCAGACAAAAGAATTGAGTTGGCCTCGGCCATCAGACAGTTGTAGACTTTTGCTGGTTGACATTTCACAGAATTCATCAGACCTTTGAATATGTTCAATTTTTCCCCTCTGTCTGGGAACAGCTACAATGAAAATACAAACATAAGAAAATTAAGAAGGAATTGCCATAAGACTAAGTTCAGTGAAACAATTTACCTTGTGCAAGGCAATAAAGATTGGCAGTATGCCATAGAGCCTTTATGGTGTTCATCTTACTCCAGTTACTAAAATGAGGGAAAAATAAGAACAGATAGGAAAGATAAGAGCATGAATGAGTTTTGATCTGTTGTTTGCTTACAGCAAGCAGTACCGTTTTTCATTATGTTTGCTCCATCAGATATTCATAGAATCCTAGAATGCTTTGGGTTAGAAGGGACCTTAAAGCTCACCCAGCTCCAACCCCTGCCATGGGCAGGGACACCTTCCACTAGAGCAGGTTGCTCCAAGCCCCTGTGTCCAACCTGCCTTGAACACTGCCAGGGATGGGGCAGCCACAGCTTCTCTGGGCACCCTGTGCCAGCGCCTCAGCACCCTCCCAGGGAAGAGCTTCTGCCTCAGAGCTCATCTCAATCTCTCCTCTGTTGGGTTAAAGCCATTCCCCTTGTCATGTCCCTACAGGCCCTTGTCCAAAGCTCATCTCCAGGTTTCTTGTAGCTCCTTTAGGCACTGGAGCTGCCCTAAGACATCCCCAGAGCCTTCTCTTCTCCCAACCTATCTCCATAGCAGAGCTGCTCCAACCCTTGAAGCATCTTTGTGGCCTCCACCTCCACTTGTGTTGGGGGCTCCAGTGCTGGATGCAGTACTCCATGTGGGGTCTCGTGGGAGTGGACTCTTGGACAACACCAACCTTCTCTCTATCAACATTTCAGAAATTGATCTTAGATCTCATCAGAGACATTACAGAGCCGTTCAACTTCCTCTCTTCTCTGGGAATGGGCACTTACATCAAGTTAAAATTACACTAATACTTTGCTTAGTGTCATAGGAACAGAAAAGAATAGAGTTCGGGACAAAAGCTTTGAGGCAAAATGCTTCAAACTGTAATGAAAACTGGAGATATGTTGAATTTCTGATGCCGAAATGCTGCTATGCTTTTTCAAACTTCCCATTAAATGCTATTTTCCTTTCTGCATTACTGAAAAATCAGACTAGGAAGCTTTTAGGGACAAACTGTGGCTTCCTCTGTGCTGCAGCTCAGATGAAGAGAAAGGCAGAAAGCTTTGCAACAAGACTGCTGTGGCTGGGGCTGTGCAGAAGGGAAAGATATTGCTGATTGAAATGGATGCACTGGCAGTGGAGGGGATTGTGTGAGTCCAGAAAGAGCCATTTAAAAGCATTAAGTGCTTTATCTCATGGACAGAGTGAATCCCCTCCAAGCTGATAAAGGTAATGCATCAGGATCTGGGCAGCTCAAGCAAAGTGTTTTCCAGTGCTTCTACATTCAGAAGCCACAGTGGGAGCTTTTCTGGTCCCATGGCACAGGGATCCCAGTAGATGGCAGTGATTTTTCCTTATACCATGCGTGTGTCTCTGATTTAGGAAAAAAATTGTCCTTCCCTCCAGCAAGTTGCAAATTTATTTTTTTTTTAAGTTAAAAAAGGCTGAAGAAATAAATAAATAAACCCACACATCAATCTGAACAGCTCAAATAATGAAGCTGTCAAAGTGGCATGTTTGAGAGCCACTGAAAGACACAGGAAAGTAATGACACCTCCAAAAGCCACAGTTCTGTGTTACAGGAGATTAAATGAGTTGAATATTTGTCTAGAATATGGAAATAAATCTCTCAAAGCCTTCAGTGGGAATTGAAGGGGCCCAAAGGAACTGTTTTACACATAGACATACACAGAGACCACTGTGGATATCACATTGAATGATAACTCTTTCACATTGCTATCTAATTTGATGTATGACAGCTCTTTCTTGTAGCTTGTCATGTATATGCATTATGGAAAAGCTTTACAGCTCATGGCAGAGTGAGATTTTTTCCTCAGCATCCTTGTTCAAAAATGAGTTTCACTACATAGACAATAAAGTACCTTTCTCTCTCTATTGTTGTATAGAAATAGAGAGTTATCTCTGGTAGAAAACACTGTAAGAGACTTTCATTTTTTATTTTCCATTATATTGGACACAGAAAGAGTCTGTGACAAGGACCCTGGTCACTGCTGCTGTTCAGTGTTAGCACTGCAGCTGCCTAAGCTGTCAGTGGTTAGGCACTACTTAAACCCCCTGCCTGAAACACCCCATGGTCCCTACCTAACAGGCATCTCTCTTATCCTGTGGCACCTAACAGGTAAGCTACAAAGATGACAAAACCCCAGGAAATTCCTGAGAGTGTCAGACAGTGTTCCCTCATCATACAGGAAAAAGAAAAGAAACATATCTATCTTGGACAGAAAAATGCTGTCAGCAGAAATAAGGAAACTTATGGCAAGACAGGTAAAAGGCAGAGGTCAGCCTCACATGATTGGAATTAATCATGCAGAAAAAGCCACTATCTCTTTTATTACTGAAATAATTCCAATTCCCTTACGAGTGCAGAAATCCAGCACTGAGGCAAAGGAATTAATAGCTGAGACAGAATCATCTTGCTTTGCTAATGCACCCTATACTAAATAGCCAGGGGCTGAGGCAGGAAGGAAAAACTCACCAGTGACCCACTGAAAACACTTTAAAACCCTGCACATCAGAATTAACACAAACTTGTGACTTTAATGTCCTGCTTTCACAGAGATACTCCTGTTGTGTCCTCTCCATCTCATCCCTTCACTGTAAGCTTTCTGCAAACACTGGCAAAACTCAGCAAACAAAAGCTGTAATTCAGGTGAGCAGCGGTGTGTTTAATCAGAGCAAGAGGTACAAAAGGAGCTGCATAAATAGATTTTCAGGAGAACATTGGTAATGTCAAG